TTAGTTTTAAATCATCCTTAAAGTCAAAATAACAAATATAAATGTAAAGTATTGTGTCAATTATTTAACATTACTAGTTCGTTAATAAATAACACAAGAAGAATGAGTTACTTTAACTTAAAATTTAGAGTGGATCTTCTGGGACATGTAAAAAACGTTAAAATTAACATTTTCTTTTTTACTGTATAATCTAATGTTGTGCCAACCAGTTGCTTAGCTGAGTGGAGTAGATAGTGGAAGCTGATAATAGCAACGAGATATTTTTGAAAAAAATGAATATTAATTTGCTTAATTAATGCATGTTAGCCAGAAACTCACACCATCTCCAACAACGATCGCAAGTGGATCCAAGCATCGTCAATCCATTACAACATATTTAAAAATCACGATGTCGAAGTTAGATTGAAAAATAATTTAAATAACATAAAAGAAAGTCATATTCGTTCTGATGTTAATCACATGTTACTCGTTAAATACAAAGAGAGATGTGTCGCGCGAACAAAGCATATCGGTCAATGATAAAAATAAACATATTATAACTTATTGAGAATTTCTATGTATCCATGATTTAAAGCCTCAGTGTCAGTTTGCATGTTAAGACCATTGGATTGACGATTTATATAAAGTATCTCTGACATTAATCGCTTGTAATTGCTATTGTAATTTCTCTCCAAATCCAGAATTCTCACATTATCCCAATCGAAGTCATGACTGCAACTAACCCTATGATCTGTGATAACCGACCGAGTGGATGTAACTCTACGTATATGATTGCGATGTTCTGCTAATCTCGTATTTAGTTAGTAATACTAACAAATTTGTTTATGATAGATTGCCTTTGTCCTCCTCTAACAATTTTAATGTAGTAAGCATTAAAATTTCTCCGTTTTCTTTTTTAAATGATAAGATCACTTCTTCATTAACAACTACAAGAAATAAATGGTTTTTTAATCTTACTTCGGTTTATATTCCTACTAACATCCAATGCTTGTTACAATTAGGCGAGAATTTCGCACTTCCAATTAAGGGGGAAGGACGGTTGTCATGGAGTTTATGAAAACAATATTAAGAAACTACAGAGTTCTGTTCATAATAATGTTAGGAATCATTCGTTAACAATCATCAACAATTTACTGTCTTTTAAATCTAAGAATAATTCGATACATCACAGGTTAACCAAATTAGTAAAATGTACAAAACAATTTTTCAAAAAGAACCGAAATATTATTTTTACAAAGGCTGACAAAGGCAACATAACGGTAGCATTAGAAAAAACATCTTACACTGAGAAAATCAATGCTATGCTAATGGATGAAAATACTTATTCAAAAATTGCAAAAGATCTTAGTAACAAAATTAATAATAGTTTGAGGAACTTGCTCACAAGATGGAAAAGATCTAAATTTATCTCTGATCAAACATATAAAAAACTTTACTGTAGTGATAGCAATTTATCCAGAGCTTACGGATCTCCAAAGGTTCATAAGCTAAATTGACCGTTTAGAATCATTATTTCGGCAGTGGGCAGTACTTTGTATAATTTGGCTATGTTTATACATAGTTTGATTATCGACAGTATACCAAAAGCTCCAAGCCATGTTAATAACAGTTATGATTTGATCAAAAAATGGAACAACATTCAAATCAAATCAAATTTTAGCTTGGTTTCACTAGATGTAATATCTTTATTTACAAGTGTTCCCATGGAATTAGCGATGAATGCTCTTTCTAGCAGATGGAATTAATTGTAAAAAATTGCAAGATATCGAAAGAATTCTTGAAGGTGATGCATTTGATTTTGGATTCTACTTATTTTATTTTCGATGGTCAAATCTATAAACAGATCTTTGATACTCCGATGGGTTCACCATTATCACCTATTATTGTCGACTTAGTCATGCAAGATTTGGAAAGTCGAGTGCTGAGTACCATTAAATTCCTATTGGTTTTCTACTATAGGTACGTGGATGATATTGTACTCTGTTTACCTACGGCTGAAGTGAAGGGCATTTTGGATAAATTTAACTCGTTCCACCCGAGGCTTCAGTTTACGATGGAGGTGGGGGGTAATACCATTAATTTTTTGGACACTACTATTATTTTAAAGAATGACGGACTAATTTTCGACTGGTACAAAAAACCCACTTTCTCGGGAAGATTCTTGAATTATTGGTCTCAGCATCCGATTTCACAAAAGAAGGGTATAATTTTGAATTTGATTGACAGAGTGTTTTATCTCTCACATCCAGAATTCCACACAAAAAATTTAAATTTTATAATTAGTATCTTATTAGAAAATGACTATCCATTGAAATTTATTTTTGAAACTTTGAATGACAGGATAAAAAAATTAATAAAAAAATCCAATTGTATGTGTAAGACTTCTACCAATATAGGTAAAAAAGAACATATCAGATAGTTCACAATTCCTTTTATTAATGGTATCTCTAACAAGTTTTGCAAATTTATAAATGGTATGTGTCGTAAGGTTGCTCATTATACTATTAATAAATTAAATAAATTTATTAGGGTATCACAAGGATCCTTTGCCGAAATTTGCCAAAAGAAATGTGGTTTACCAAATCGAATGTCGTGATTGTGACGCTACCTATGTAGAACAAACGGAAAGAAAACTAAATACGAGATTAGCAGAACAACGCAATCATATACGTAGAGTTACATCCACTCGATCGGTTATCACAGATCATAGGGTTAGTTGCAGTCATGACTTCGATTGGGATAATGTAAGAATTCTGGATTCAGAGAGAAATTATAATAAGCGATTAATGTCGGAGATGCTTTATATAAATCATCAATCCAATGGTCTTAACATGCAAACTGATACTGAGGCTTTAAATCATGGATACATAGAAATTCTCAATAAGTTATAATATATTTATTTTTATCATTGACCGATGTGCTTTGTTCGCGCGACACATCTCTCTTTGTATTTAACGAGTAACATATGACTAACATCAGAACGAACATGACTTTCTTTTATGTTACTTAAATTATTTTTCAATCTAACTTCGACATCGTGATTTTGAAATATGTTGTAATGGATTGACGATGCTTGGATCCACTTGCGATCATTGTTGGAGATGGGGTGAGTTTCTGGCTAACATGCATTAATTAAGCAAATTAATATCCATTTTGTCAAAAATATCTCGTTGCTATTATCAGCTTGAGTTCCACTATCTAGTCCACTCAGTTAAACAACTGATTGGCACAACATTAGACTATGGTGAAGATGATTGTCTCTCACCACATTTCCACTGCGATTGCATTTTTGGAGGTCGGAACTACGATTGTGCGAGACGCAGTTTGACAGATTTTATAGTGCGATAAGCGGTAATTTGTTATTGCTGAAGATAGCCCAAATAGTAATCCGAAACATACAAAATTGAATTTTTTACTTATGTATAGGTATTAGTTGGCTTTGCGCAATATAATATCCAGCACTCCTAACGCCCAGTTATACATTTTGTTGTTATCATTGTATTAATTTAAGGGGTCTATAAATTTGTATATTTACTTGAAATTGTTTACAAGAAGTTAATTTTATTATATCATTATATCAACTATATTATTAGTTAAAAAAAAGTAATCATTATAAACGTTATCATGAGTATTCTAAAATTTACAAATCAAAATATCACAGTAACAAAGTTATCGAAAAGATAAGTTATAAAAGTATTTGGCATTTTTTTGTTCTGAATAGTAGTTTTTGAGATATAACTTCAATTATAATTAAGCAAAAGTAAATATTTGACGGTATGTTCAAGCAACAGATGCTATTCAATGCTACCAATTGAAGAGAAAAAGCGTTGTTGCTATGCCGTTGCAAATCCAAGACATATCAAATGTCTTGAGCTGTTTTAAATTATACCTTACCGCGAGAGATTGTAAAATTTATATATAAAATATATTTTTAATATATCTTTAATATATATTCCTCACATTTTGTAATGTTTTTATTCTTTAATAATTTTTTTATTTTATTTAAATTTGTGATTTTTATTTTTTTAAGTGTGTATAATATTTAGTGTATAGTCATGTTTTTAATATTTTTAACGGCGTTAATATATGTAAACAATATGTAAAATCATATTAATGGTTACTAAAAAATTTTAATAGTTTAATTTTATGCAGTTAATATTAACAGTGATCTTATAGAATTCAAATGTATATTAAAAATTATTTTGTACGACTATTTGGTACGACAAATAGTAAATAGTTTCATAACTTATTTTTCAAGAACTTTCTTGCGATTTTGATTCATAAATTTCAGAATACCCTGTATGTATTAATATTTATAGATAATGCTATTGATATAATGATAGTAACGCGAATAAATCTTACATCTCTGCCACATTACTATGATCTCTGAATACGTTTCTCATTTACTATACACAATACGACACATACGACACACACACACACACACACACACACACACACACACACACACACACACACA